TTATCACTAACTCAAAGAGATTAATTTAATGGGCAATTATATGCTTCCTGCTCTGAAATACTTTCAGGTAAGCAATAGTCATGTATTTTCTGCAAATGCAATGCCAATTGCCCACTCCCAGGTACAGAGTGTCAGAGAGTTTTGGAACTTTCTATTCCACACCCTCGCCATCTCTGTGAAGGACACTTTAAAATCAGCATTCAGTGCATCTACAATGCCTCTGCAGAGACTTTATTCTAAGCAAATTGATTCCCACTTTCTCAGTATTCTTTACTGTCTAATGGCTATAATCAGCATAGGAAAATTAAAAAAAAAAAAAAAAGACCAAACAAACCAATAATGCCACACCTTTCATTGCATCCCTTTGTAGTATTGTCAAATTTTAATGTGTATATATATACACACATATATATGTATACATATATATATGTGTGTATATATTTCTGTATTTTGATATATAGATTGTGTGTGTGTGTGTGTGTGTGTGTGTGTGTGTGTGTGTGTGTATCTGGGAACAAAGAAGTTGTGAGAAGTAAATTTCTGAAATCCCTTGAGATTCTAATTCAATCAGTCTCAAGTGAAGTCTAGACTATTTGTTTGTTTTAAACAATTTTCTAGACAATTCCAATCAATGTTCTTCATTGAAAAATAGTCTCCTAAAATGTACTATGCTGTGTTTTCTATTCTATGTTCCTTAGTTTCCTAATCTATAAAATGGGACTAGGATTCTGGTTTTGAAAGTTCCAAAGCTCTGCTATGCTCATTAGGCAATATGTTTTGTCTCTAATAAAATGCATACTTGTTCTTTCCTTCACTGCACCCTTGTCCTTGCCCTAGAAGAAATAAAATAGTTTCTTCTGCTTTGCACAGAAAAACTATTTCATTCACTTGATTCAAGAAATGATGTACCAATATTGGAAGCACAAATTGAGCAAGAAGATAAAGAGGAAAGAAAATAGAAGTGAGGTTTCTGTAGAGCGTGTTTAAGGACATACATTCTGCAGTTAAACAAAAGTCTGATCCTGTGCCCACACCGCCATCCCTTGCTCTCTATGAAACTTTGGCAAGAAATTTAACCTGTATCTGAGTTTCCTTGCCTGGAAAATGCTTATTATAACAGTAGTCACTTTTTCAGCAAACATGATGAGAATTAAATGCATTGAAGGGCTTTTCGGTTTATTTTCTCATTTTTTTTTTCATTATTCAGCTAAATTTACCTTGATTCTTCATCATAATGGTAAACAGCAGCCATATACTGTAGTTTCAGGGAATGGGGTTGCTACTAGCAGAGATACTTAGCAGAGATATGCTATACAAGCCTAATCTCTTGTTAGCACATGGGCATCTACCTGCTGGCTCATGTGGTAAGATGCGCCAGTTGATCATGATGATAGGATAGATCTGGTACCGCTGAAATACTTGGGTAATAAGTACAGTGAAACATCTCAGCCTCAGTTAAGTGAATCTGACACAAGGGGATAAAGAATGACATCTACATTCTCAATAAGAGATAACAGATGGACTTCTCTAAAATCCACTTTTTAGCCTAATTTCATTTGTTAAATCTTTTGTCTGATGAGACAGCATTCTGAGAGTAATTTTAAATTGTTCTTCCCAGACTGACTATTTCTTTATCATTATTAGAATCTCCTCCTATGGGGTTCTGTTATTCTGAATGGTTTTAAATATTCATCTCAGATGAATACTATAAATCTCCCTTTAATATTTTTTTCCCCAAGACATGATCTGTGGCTTTGGAAGATAAACATCATGTGATGGGCTAAATAATCAAACCAAGTCAAAACAAGTTTCTAAGCTATGTTCATAGTAATTTCAATTTTTTAATTTCTCTGTGATCTTATGATTTTCACTTCCTTTTATGATTAAGAACAAAGAAGGTTTAATAGTACACTTAAAGTTTTCAAATTTATGCCACCCCAGCTCATATTTTACAGCTAAAATTTAAAGCTTTCATTTGTATTCTCATCCTTGTTTGTTCTAATAAAGAAATCTGCAAATATTCAAAATCAGACTGTTCTTTAAGATTACAGTTTAACATTTCTTAAGATGTTTAATCTGAATTAAGCTTGTTTCTTAGCCAAAATGCACCTGTGTAGTTTTTTTAGTTTTCAATCCCTGACCAAAAAAAAAAAAAGGTGCGACAACTCCCATCAACCTATCAACTCCTATTAATTGATTTGAACAGAATCAATGCATGTTTGGACATATATTTTAAATTCTCCATAGTTTATGAATCTGGAACGTGATTGAATCATTTCTCTAAAAACATGAAGAAAATGTTATCTGATGTACCTTTGATGTTTTCAGTAACTTGGTTATAATGGATTAATAATACCATTTAAAAATATTAACTAGTTATTTACTAATACACAGAAAGTCTTGATTTTTTCATATGTATTTTGAAGTAAGTTTTAATATAATCATACCCTCATTTAAGGAGGTCAGTAGTTGTATTTATTTTCACACCATCAGTGTGGAATTGTTTAAATTCCCAACACTCCTTATCTTCTTCCTTACCTCTGTGCCTTTCTTTATGGATAGATCAACAGTTTTCAATCTACCCTTTCGTATGCAGGTACTCCCAGTGCCACTGGAAAGAAAACTCCAAGAGGGAGCAGGGTTTATGCCTACTCTAGTCCCTGCTATATCCTCAGTCACTAGATGAGTGCTTAGCAATAATAAAGAGTTAATAAACAATTACTGAATGAATGAGCAAATGAACATCTTCCCCGACTGAGCTTGGTAGCCTTGTCATCCTGCAGCTATCAGCTCAATGCCCTGGAGCAGCTGCTTTTGTATCTGTTTTGCTTATTTGTCTGAGATTTCTCGAAAATGAGTCTTCTGTTTCTGGATTGTCCTGAAATATTTCTTAAGTAAGTGCTCTGTGTATTCATTGTGTTGAGTACATTTTGCTGATAACTGATAAACCTTGATGGATATTTAAGAAAAGGAATCTATCGCATTTTTAAAAGGTGGCATGGGCCTTGAGTGTGGATCATGTTTGTAATCCCAGCAGGAGGATCAATTGAGGTGAGGAGCTGGAGACTAGCCTGGGCAACATAATGAGACCCTGTTTCTGCAAAAAATACAATGATTTGCCAGGCATGGTGGCTTCTGCCTGTAGGCCCAGATACTCGGGAGGCTAAAGCAAGAAGACCATTTGAGCCCAGGAGATAGAGGGTGGAGTGAACTACAATAGTGCCACTACACTACAGCCTGGGCAATAGAGAGAGATCCTGTTTCAAAGGTAACATGAATTAAGTTTAACTCTACTGGATTGTGTTCAATATATGAGAAAATTATTTTAAAAGTAATTATTGACTGTACACACATTAAAGAATACTGGTTTTTTGAGCTTTTTATAAAGCCTTAAATCATCTAAATAGATACAGTTTTTCTGAGAGGCTTAAAGTGATAATCAGGCTTCAACATGATAAATTATAAAAAAAAAAATTTCTACATCTTTCTAAATGAGACTAACACTTCTAATAAACGATAATCACCAAATGGCATGCTTTGTTTGCATCTTCTCTTTAGGTTACAAGGGAAAACTACTGTCAGGGTAAGGCACTAGAGAAGAAATTAGTACTCCCAACGCTGGAAAAACACAAAGTTTCCAAAACTCTGTCTCTATCCAAAGCCAAAGTTTGATAGTGTTGAAACTACCCAATTGACTGAATGTTCTCTGCCTGTACTCAAGGCTGCTATAAGAAATAAACATTCTTCACTCTTGAATCTTCATGCTTTCACACAAGTGTTCTTTTTATAAGACTTGGTAGAGGACATTTTCCTCATATCATAAAGCAAAAAAATATAATGTTTCTCTCCTGAATGCCTGGATTACTCTTCTTTAAAATACAAATTAATCATTTTTCACAGAGATATCTCCTCTGTTTTCACATGAGCTGCTAGACAGTAGAGTGACTTTTAGGGCATATTTCCTACAATTATCATCTACATTAGTCTATAGAGTATGTGTGACCATGAATCTTTCTTAACATTGATTTTTATTTTCTTATTCAAATTCCCTTTACCTCAGCTCCCTTGAAATTTATTGTCTCCTTTGAATTTGTTTACAACTTCGAAGGACTCATCCAGTCCTTTATAGAAAGAAGATATTCAGATAATAAACAATATGTATTTTGCTAGGAAAACAAAAGTGAACATTACATCCTTTTTCCATATTTCTATATAATAAAAGTTGGTGAGGTAGATGTAAGTTCTCAAAGACAATGTGGCACCAAATTTCACCATACAGCTATTGTTTAGCGACTCCATAATAGTTTTATCAAGTGCAAAGAAGCTATGCTCATTAAAAGTTAACAGAAAGATTAGCATATTATTTTAACAACCCTAGACTCTCCTCCCATAAAATAAAATAGCTTAAATGTTTTCACAAAATTTATGAAAAAATTTACATTGAATTTATATTGAAATAATTTTAAACATTCCATGATTACTGTGTACAATACATTAAACTCTAAAAAACAAAACAAACTTATCTATAATCTCTCCTAAAATAAGGAGTATTGATAAAGTTATCTTCCATATTTTCCATATGTATGTATGCATGTTTATATTTAAATATGTAATTATTTCTATATTGAATGTACTATAATATCTATATATGTGTGTGTCCAGATATTTAAATTACAATGTACAAATCTTGAATTATTTTTTTACCTGCTGTTTTATACCAAATATTTTCCTCTCACTTTAAAATGCAAAACGTTGTTTTTAATGACTGAATAATGGGTATAAGAATGTTTCCTTCTCACATATCCTAAAACATTTCAATAACTTACTACAGTGTAAGTTATTTTGTGTTGAGATGACACATTCAAAGGCTCCTTGGGAACAATAAAATAAGTTCCAATGCCAAGGTATCCATCAGAAACAGGGGCTGCTTACCGCATGATGAATATGCATAAATTGAACACAGTCACACAAGGAAGAAATGAACAAACCCAGGCACTTACTAATTTCAGTAGCAATGATTGTTATGTTGTGCCATACACTTAATTCTCTGTCAAGTGGTGTTGCCAGCGTTATCTTTCCATCGTCTGCATTAATGTTGAACTGCCTCTCCAGGTCAGTGTGCCGGTCGATGGAAAACCTACAAAAGAGACACACCTGTAATCTACTTCAATGTTTATATGATCCATACATTCCACAGCAGACCTTTAGTAATCCTTGGAGAGCCATAGTTGTGAAGTCAAATGAATTGGGAAACTCAGTAGTATCATAATTTATAAAACAAAATGACTAAATCAGGCACAAGAAACTTAATAATTATTGTCCAAGGAGCAATTAGCTGCATATGCAACATGAAGGTCATAAACTGCCATCAGTTTCAATAGGCAGCATCTTCAAAAATGGATGCTGATGAAGAGTTAATTGGACAATCCATCACACTTATTGGACAGCTTATGATAATTAGCAGTTGCCACAAAATATCATATGAAACAATGAATTCAAACTCAAAACAGGATGGCACTAGGCCGCATGTTTTGTATGTCCATTCAAATAAAATATGTATTTTGTTAAACTTTGATTTGACTGTACTGCGTTTATGGGATTTCATTTTGTTGGTGATGGTGGCCATTTGTTTTGTTTTGTTTTCATTTCAAGTAAAGTGTGTATTTAGGTTTTCTATTAGTCTCAGTCCATAGAAAACAGATAGTTGTTGATTCTATGGTTGTTTTTAATAGTTGTTTATTCTATAGTTAATATTTTCTAAAAGTTAGAATCGATATTTTAACATATTTACAACACTACAGTTTACTAAACTAAGAATTTCAAAGGAATATATTAGTAGTTATTTTATCAAAAAAACTCTCAGATAAGAAAGAGTTGAAAGATCTGAAAACTCTTTCAGATAAGAAAGAAAGGCGGTGGCTCAAGCCTGTAATCTTAGCACTTTGGGAGGCTGAGGTGGGCGGATCACCTGAGGTCAGGAGTTCAAGACCAGCCTGGCCATCATGGTGAAAACCCATCTTAAAAAAAAAAAAAAAAAAAAAAAAAGAGAAGAAAAGAAAATACGGGTGATGTGTGGTGTCTAGATCAAACTGCTTCTCAGGGCCACTAAGTATCTAGGTAGTATCAAGAAGAAAAAAAAAAAAAACAGAAATTGTTTCTCATCACATTTATTAATACTTTTTTTTTTTTTTACACCAAGAATAGTTTCCTGGCGATGGAATGCTAGATCCAATAATCTTTAAGTTTTAGAGACTACAAGGTGGACTTAGAAAGATTGGCCCGTAATTAAGCAGTGATACACTAAAACAGGCTAGGATGGAGGCCCAAAGAAGGGTGTATGCAATTTCATTTCAGGAAGAAAGACTGAAGAAGACCTTCAAGATTGAGGTGATGGCTTAGGAAGTGTACATGAAAACTCTCTATTCACTGATACCCATTAAACTCAAATCTAGAACATGGTCCATGTTAGTTAATACTGGGCATAGTTTTATGCAGGTTCTTTATAGTTTATTATTCTCCATAATCCTCCAACTATAATTTTGTATTGTTAATATTTCAGTAGAGTTCACTGAAAACATCATATATGTATGCATATGAATATGCACCTACCAATTTGTATCTATACCTACCTATGAAGATAGCTAGATAAATAACTATACAGCTAGTTACTAGTTAGCTAGCTAGATGTATATAGATAAATATATGTATAGATTTTTTCTTCTCTTTTTAGCTATTCCCTTTTCATTAGAGAAGGTATGCATATTATTTACACTATGCTCAAAGGTCATTATAAAAAGACCTCCTTGTTAAATCCTGCCCACCAAAGACAAGCATCGTTAAAGGATTTCGAGTAATATATAAAAGGACTTAATTTTATTAGCAATTGTTTACTGAGAAATCATTTTAAAACATGATTGTAAAATGAAATAATAACTACCCATTTAGTAATGACTTAACTACAAATATAAACTAAGACACTGACTTGTACCGATACACTAGGCATTTACAAATCATTCCCATCCCCAATCCCCAGAAGAATGGAAGAAATTCAGAGAAAATTTAAAAACTGAGAGACAGGTGAATTAACAGCGCTCTCAACAAAATCCTGAACATGAAGATATGTTTATTGCGAAGTGTTTAAATGTGTTATATTATGAAAAGAAGACCAAAAGTTATTTTCCTGGGGAATAAGGATGGTTGATTCGACCAATGATATTCCAAGTTTAACTATAAAATAGCTTAACAGACATGTGTTTTGCTTCAGATATCATGTACATTCTGACTCTTAAAAGAGCTAAAAAAGTGTCCAGAGGATTAATTATCACTCTCTGCATCGTATTCATAAATAAACTTTGCAGGCATTTCTGGTTCTAGTGATTTTATTATCTCACTGCTGATATTTCACACATCCATGCATCAACCAATTTCCCAGAGGCCACAGTAAACAAGAATCAGTCTAATCACTGATACTCATGAATCCCAAATCAGAAACACATTCCATGGCTATTTGGTTGCTGTCCAGTAATTGCCTAGAATTCCTAGCCCCAAAGAAGCATTGGGAGCAACAATGGGGTTATTTGGAATTTGGCATTAAAAGAAAATGTTTTTGTTTGTTTAATACCTTATTCAAATATGTATCATGCAGATCTCAAATTTGGATCAAATTATATCTCTATTACTTATGTATTGCTGTTTCTAGGATAATTAGTAAATTCACTGAGCCTGAATTTATTTGCTGGTGAAATAGGAATTATTTATATCCCACGAATAGTTTTGAAGACTGAAAACAACGCTTAAATCAATGTCTGGCACTTAGTATGTACTAAAAATAGGCTCATCATCACCATCATCATCATCATCATCATCTTCGTCTCTCATTAAATTATGTATTAATAAACTTCCCTATTTAGCAGGTAGTGAAGAATGCCCCTTCCTTAGCAATTTATAAATGGCAGGAAACTTTTTTAAAATACATGTTATTTAACTCCCATAACTCTAACAAAGGCAGGAATATTTTTCTCAGTTTTTAAAGTTTCAGATCATGACAGACTTTATGGGGTGAGTCATGGGAATTTATAAAATAGTCTATAAATACAGCCCTTTAGTGAGATCAGAGGTAGGAATGTCATAATATTACAAGATTACACAATAGAAGAAACTTGATGGGAAAGAAATGACTTAGTTTAAAATTCACTTTAGAGTCTACCTCAACTATTTTGGAAAACTCCTGCTGCTTCTATAGAAATTTCACACATTTTATTGCCTAGTAGACTTTATGATAACAGCTCTCAAGAATGACTAAACAGCACAAAAATTCTGACTCAACATTTTGGTCAACAAGCATGTATGAAACACCAAATTTGTACCAAGCACAGTGCTAGATTCCTTTTCATTCTCCCACCCTTCTTTTCTTGGTTTCTTATATAATGAATAACAGAAAAATAAAACTCTTAGAGACTAGGACATTTTAGGTAACACAACTGTTAAACAGCGGAACCAGAATGAATACTCACATCTGAATCATTGTGAAGTCCCTGTGTAAACCAACCACATAATGGGCTTACCCTATTCATGCATAAAATGGGGATAGTAATAATCCCTGGCTAACAAGATTGCTGTGAGGATCACATGAGATGATAGGTGTGGCACACTTCACAAACACGTGTGCTGACGACTGTGCATACCACAGTGTGAACGACTCTCATATCATTTGTATCATGGTGACATCCTTGAAAGTCATGTACTCAATTTTCTGAACCCTAAACCAGGACACAGCATTCTTTGATTTGAATGTTTGTGTGCTTCCCAAAACACATATGTTGAAATCCTCACTCCCAAGGTGATAGCATTAGAAGGTGGGGCTTTGGGGAGGTAATTAGGATGTGAAGCCCTCACAAATGAAATTAGTTCCCTTATGAAAGACCCCAGAAAGCTAACAAGTCCCCTTACTCCATTGTGAGGCCACAATGAGAAGCTGATTGTGTGCAATCCAGAAGAGAGCCCTTACCAGGACCCGATTACCTTGGCATGCTAATCTTGGACTTCTCAACCTTCAGAATTTCGAGTAATTCATTTTTTTTTTTCCACTTTAAGTTCAGAGTGCAGGATATGCAGGTTTGTTACACAGGTAAATGTGTGCCATGGGGGTTTGTTGTATAGATTATTTCATCACCGAGGTCTTAAGCCTAGTATCCATTAGTTACTTTTTTCTGATCTTCTCCCTCCTCCCACCCTCTTCCCTCTGGTAGGCCCCAGTGTTCCCCTTTATATGTCCATGTGTCTCATCATTTAGTGCCCTCTTATAAGAGAACATGTGGTATTTGGATTTCTGTTGCTGCATTAGTTTGCTAAGGGTAATGGCCTCCAGCTTCATCCATGTCCCTAAAAAGGACATGATCTCATTCCTTTTTTGTGGCTGCAACGTTCCTATGGTATATATGTGCCACATTTTCCTTATCCAGTGTATTATTGATGGGCATTTAAGTTGATTCCAAGTGTTTTTATTGTGAATAGTGTTGCAATTAACCTATATGTCCATAGGTCTTTACAACAGAATGATTTGTATTCCTTTGGGTATAAACCCAGTAAAGGAATTGCTGGGTCAAATGATATTTCTGTCTGTAGGTCACTGAGGAATAACCACACTGTCTTTCACAGTGGTTTTACTAATTCATATTCCTACCAACAGAAGAAATTAATTTCTATATGGTTTATAAGCCATCCAGCCTATTTTGTATTTTGCATTTTGTATACCAGTCCAGATGAACTATAAAACAGAGTATAACAAGTAATTTTTTTTCTCATTTTGGAATATACTGATTTAAACATATCTTAGACACCTAAATATTAAAAGGCAATGTCTAAGTAAAGATGATTTATTGAATAAGATGAAAAGAATTTGGATCTTCCCTGAAAGCCAGAGAATAAAAGCTTCTATCTCCCATGTTCTTTGTAAGCATATAGATAAACACTTAATCCACCTCCACTGTCTCACAGGCTCTGCTCTGCTGCTTGAAGACATGACCTGGATTTCTAGGTGTTTCTTCTTAGATTGCCAGGAGAGTCCTAGTCCATAGGCCACTCACATACTCATAATCTCCTCACAAAGAACATGGGTCCTCAGCCTGGCAGCCTGAG